GGTTGAAAAAACGATTGCAATCGCGATAACGGATTACGACTTATCACTCGTCCTAAAATAACGATCGCGGTAATAAATGTTATGAATACATTTGTAATCGTTAATAAATTTATTCTAATTGATGCATTTTTAACAATTTTACTAATTAAACATACTAATAAGTAATAAAATTTCTAATAGTTTAATATTACACGACATTAGTTGAATTTATTATAAAAAAATAATTAATAACACTTATAATAGATTAATATCACATAAAAAATTATAAAATTAATTTGAGTTGAGAATTATTTTTGTGAACTATCTACTTTCCAAACAAATATTTAAAATATTTTATATGGTTTATTAAGAAAATAAGAAGTTTAAAATAAACTGGGACTTGAGAGAGAGTTCAATGTTCATAGTTGATCTCTAATAATTTTATGAAGACATGAATGAAGTTGAAAAATACATGATATTTTAACTTGGGAAAGGATTTTTTTCTTTCATCATTTGATTACATGGAATCAAATTCAAAGGTTGCAATTTGGTGAAGGAGTAAATTATCATTAGTTCCTTTAGTTTTGATAAATAAATTAATTAGCCTTTTATGTTTCAAAAATTAGCTATTTAATCTTTTTATCAGTATTAATTATGTTTAATGTAATATATTTTATTTTACAATTTTTTTCATCAATCTTTTCATGATGTAAATTTATGTTTTTATTTTTTTCTAATTTTTTTTAGAGGGAAAAAAATTAAAAAAAATAACATAAAATTGAAAAATGTGACTAAATAATTAGTTTTCAAAAGAAGAAATACCAACTACTTTACTTTTCCAAACTAAAGGGACTAATTTATAATTTAATCAATTAAAGCTTGCATTTGCATTTGCAGCCTTTTGAATTTGTGTACACTTGCAAGAAAGAAACCTAAAGTAAATTATACATTAGTCCTTCTAGTTTTGATGAATGTATTAATTAATTTTTAATATTTTAAAAACTAATTATTTAATATTTTAATCAATATTGATCATGTTTAATGTAATATATTTTATTCTATAAAATATTTTTTTCATCAATCTTTTCATGATATAAATTTATTTTTTTCAAAAAAATTAAAAGATAAAATGAACAAAAATAACTAAATAATTGATTTTTGAAATAAAAAAATAACTAATATATTTTTCAAAATAAAAGGACTAATTCAATATTTTGTCAAGATAAAATGTATATGATTCTATCCTATCTTGTTTAACAATAAGTGCAAAAGCCGCAACTTGACGTGAAGAAATGCACCCTCGACAAAGAAACCTAAAGTAAATTATACATTAGTCCTTCTAGTTTTGATAAATGTATTAATTAATTCTTAATGTTTCAAAAACTAGTTATTTAAGTGTTTGATCAATATTGACCATGTTTAATGTAATATATTTTATTCTATAAAATGTTTTCTTTTTTCATCAATCTTTTCATGATATAAATTTATTTAAAAAAAAAAGTAGAAGAAAAAATGAACAAAAATAACCAAATAATTGATTTTTTTTAATAAAAAATAACTAATTTATTTTGCCAAAATAAAAGGACTAATGTATTTGATTCTAGTATTAAGTCGATACAAAAGCTACAACTTCACGTGAGCATGATATAACTTAGAATTCAATAACCACCGTTGATCATCATAAAATAGAACAAATCAAGGGGTGATATTCTCCCTTATATCGAACCCGTTTCAACCACTCTACGGTTTTAAATCCAATATTCCTTGTTTTCTAGTAATAAAAACAAACTCTATGCTTCATTTGTGTTGCTAGCTAAAATTACGGTATTGATCCATATACCAAGAAAGCATAGATGGTGACCTTTATGTAACAAACAAATCTCCTTACTCTCATCTCCGTACAAAGTCCTAATAACCTCGAGAAACAAACCAACTACGAGGAAGTCCCCTCTACAATTTCCCCACCTCATAACAAAACTTTAAAGAGAAAAATAAGAAAGGGATTCCAACATCTTATGGTATTTGGGTTTTCAAGTGGTAACGACGACATCGTAGGTGGCATGGATTGAGTCAAGAGACTCTTCACTCTTGGTCTTTGCCTTTCTACTTCGTGATTGAAATTCAGCAATTGAAATGGCTAATTTTCTTTTTTATTTTTATTTTTATTATTAATGGTGTTATATAATGATAACATCGTTATTTATCGTTATATGTGTGAAACGATGTTGGGCTACCCATTACGCGAAATAACGATAATGGGATACCCCGAAACTATTATATAATGGTCGTTATGCTATATAATGATCATTTTTTAAAATCATGAATGCAATTCTTTACTCATATTATTGGCCAAGAAACATTTTTTTAAATTTGACGGAACTCTAAGAAGCAATGAAGCTTGCTCGAAGATATACAACCGCCTCTCTTTTCTTACTCTACTTTATAGAGCAACCTATAAAAATATTCTCCAAACAAAGTTCATTTGACAAAGGAATAAGAATGCTTAGGACTACGATTAGGGACACACCAATAGCACCAGTTAGCCCTTAGGAGCAAAAAGGCTAACCTCAATCTCATTACCAAGATGCTTCAAAAATGAAACACCTTTTTTAAAAGAAGAATGATCCTTTATGATGGCCTAACAAACAACCATTGGAGTGACCACCCCTAATGAGCAAGTAGGGCCATATAAATGGAGACAAAGGAAGGCACCAAACCTCGTACTAAGAAGTGCTCACAATATGAGGAGAGACAGTTCTTCTTATCATCTAGACTCGAGCAGATCCTCCTTACCACTTTTGGCACTTAGATGAGGATATAATGACCTAGCACTACTATAGCTTCTCTTAGAAATCATTGCCTTATCTTGTTATGAAGGCTCTATTAAGGGTTCAAGCCTTCCTCTAAGGTATCCTACAACTATAAGAACATACATGCTAGAAAATAAAACAAAGTTAGAAGATAAATAGAAAAATGTATAAGTTATCATAACTATCCTCCATGCTCTTTGCTAATGACGAGTTTCGAATGAAAGGATCAACCTAGAAAAGGCTTCCTATGTAATACATCCAACTCCAAAAAGTTAGATTAACATTAGACCAAAAAGGAATGTCATTACTCGTTGTCACTACTTAACATTTAAAAGACTTTCAAAAAATAAAAATGGTTTATGTTTGTTTGTTTATTTTAGGGAGATGAGTTAATCGAGGTTTTAGAGTCACCATCAAGTATTAAAAGGAACTAGAAAACCTAAGGAAGACACTCAATTCAAAGATTTTGGGTAAGGAATTGGTTACATCTTTGAGAAGATAACGACAACTCAAAAACACTATTTACGAAGAAAGGTATCATGTTTAGTTTAGTTCTAGAAATATATCTCTAAAGATTCTATTTTGCCAAATTATATTCTAAGTTTATTTTCAAGTTTGTCTATTGTCTAAGCTAAATTATTGTTTTTATTTTTATTATGGCATTATATTGAATTAGTGTTGGGCCTAAAATCGAGAATCTCATCAATTCAATATCGAATTCAATTAAAGTTTTAACATAACAAGTATGTCAAAGAACGACTTAATTACTAAGGATGCTTGATTTTTATTTTTTCTTAATTGATGTCGAGAATAACGTTAATTCCTATTAAATAGGAGACTCATCAAATCAACTTAAAATTTGTTTTTGTTTTCGTTTAATTGTCCTAAAAATGGCATATTTCAGCTTGATGAAGGATCACCCTCAATCCATAGCACCTAGGAGACTTGATGATCCACCATCATGTTAATTACACAATAACTATATTATAATGAAATAAATTACAAGCAAACAATAAATAAATTATTAAAATTAAAAAAGATGGTATAATTTTGTTGAAGCGAACGATAAGTTATATGGGAAAACTTCCAAATTAGTCTTGTCGTTTGCTCTTTCCCTCAATTAACGTCCTTGTATATTCTAATTTTCTTCCAATTAGGTCCACTAGAGTGTGTTATTTTGGTCCTTTGTTCTTTTAAAGTTTTGCAATCACACCCCTATGTCCCTTGATTTTGATTTCTGCTCTTTTAATTTTATTCAATTGCACCCTCAATTGTGTTTTCTTACTAATTAGTTCTTTTTTTTTTTTTTCCTTTTTTATATATTTTTATTTTTTGTAATAAAATAAAAAAGGAAGTTAACCTAAATTTTTTTATGCCTTCCTAATGAAGGTATGGTTTATAAGAGCATCCATCATATCATCGCTAAATATGATTGCATATGCATCGATGCAAATATATTTTCAACTAAAAAGATCTTTAAATATGTCGGTATCCATTAGACGCAAAGAAAAAAACCTCATTGCCTTCTTTTTGATACATGTTGATCTTTCTTCCTTGCTATATAAAGGTTAACACTCAATGGCTTTGCAAGTCTTAGAGATGCGGTAATTTTTATTTGAGAGATTCAACATGGTGTAAAATGGAAGTTAATCCTTTTGGTCTTGATGATATTCTAAGAAATGCATGTAACTTCAAATGAAAAATTGGTTTTGTATATTTGCTCAAGTTGGCATTATATTATATAAAGTATTTTCTTGCATAGAAGCTTTATATCATTTTCTAGCAAAAATGGTGGTGAATCCGTAAGAAGTTATGTTCGCGGAATTTAGGTATGAACATTGGATGCCCCTAAAGGCTAACTAATTAAAGGTTTTCCATTTTTAAACTTTGTGAGGTGGGTGGAGACTATTTTTAAAGTGTAGTTCAAGATAAACTTTCACTCCTCTATTTTCCAAATATGCCTTTCTATTCCATCAAGCTTTTAATAAATACCTAAACAAGAAAATTGAAGGTGAAGAGAATATAATATCATAATAGGGTTTGAAACCATAGTGAAGCCCAAATGCGAAACCCAATACTGCAAAAATCAGCTTTGACAAATTATAGACCCAAACCCAGCTATAAACAAGAAATCTGGCAGTAGAATGAAAAAAAAAAAAAAAAAAAAAAAATTTCTAAACTCAATACTGGTTTCTCTGATTTGAAAGCAAAATGAAATCCAAAGCCCAGCTTACTACCCAAGACAATAATAAGCCAGCAAAAACACCCACAATCTCAAAAATTCAAAATATCAAAGACATAGTCGCTGTTATAGCTCTGCGTTATTGTTTACTGTTCGTGGGCTAGTTGTTTCATGATGAATTGATGGTAAAGATAAACCCCATCTAAACATTAAAAGGAAAAAAAAAAAAACATTTTTAATTCTTGTTACTGGGTTGTTGTTTCTCTTCTGAATTGTTATTTTTAATTTCAATAATTTATCCGTTTTTTTATCAAATTATTTGTTTTCTATCCAGCTGCTGTTTATGGGATATTTGAGGCAAGTCATTCAGGCAGTACAAGGTACATACCATCTTCCCTCATACTGGTACCGAGTTTAGAGTCTTTGAGACTTATTAAACTGCTTCCCACCCTTCACCATGCATCTATTGTTTCATCTTTTTTACTTGTTAGCATGGCTTCAAAACTGCTTATAATCGGTAAAAATGAGCTCCAACTCTCTCTAAGGTAACCCTTTGATGAGCTTGACCCCTTCCATTAACAATAATACCAGCCTTGCAAGATCAGCGCTCAAGGCTCAATCTCGCCGTTCTTTATGGGGTTTTAACTGAACCCCATTTAGCCAAAACTCATATCAAGCATCTACATGCCGTTGTTACTGATGCGTATGCCTTGTTTGTTAATTTTATTATCAAAATTGTTACTGATTGTTTGGTAACTTAGTTGATTCGGCCAAGGATAGGTTGATTTGGGTTGTTAAAGAATATACTTGATGTTTTAGGAGTTGGTTTTGATGGTTTGTTAAGGCAAATTGTTGGTGGTGATTTTAGTGATAGGAATTTATGGTTGTGTTTCGAGTTGACTGCTATTTTTCTAAGGAAATGGGATGGTTTAGTTGAAGAAGAACAAGTCCTTTGTATGTTTATCTTTGGTCGTTAGCTGACCATTGTAGGGTATCAAATGGTGTAAAGATAGTCTTTAAAAAAATTAGAGATTTGAGTTGTGTCAAGATGTTGTGGCATCAATTTCATTTGTGTATGACGATTAGAAGGGGCCTTAGATTACTGCTAGATTTGGTTCGCGTTCCTGAGTTTTGAATTACATGGAAGAATTTGATTCGAACCCAAGTGAGTTCAGGAATTTATTTATTTATTTTATTTTATTTTTTTTGGGATCACTCCAGAAAAGGAAAACCAGTAGAGTTTTTAGCTGATGCATGCCAGTTTGGGGAGCCCGAAGCAGTCTCAAGTGTGGTATGAAAAGAAGTTTCTTCTTGGATGTCAGAGAGATTGTTCTAATTGACATTGTTTGGTTTATGTTCTGCACACCACCCATCTTAAGAAACTATTCAGTCGGATGTTATACTATGATGGGATGCTATAGGTTGGCTTTTAAAAACTTGTGGAAGGCATTATGTTGAAGCCAATGTGAAGCTGACATTTTTATGTGATTGGCTTTTCTTTGATGAAAAGATTGATAGCTTAATGAATGTTGAACCTGCAATGTTCTTAATGGTATGCTCAATACCCAAATATATTGACATGATCCACACTCTTAACTTTTTGTTGCTTCTTGCTGACAAATATGATATCGGCTGTATTAATGTCATTGTAAGGGGTCTGCCATCAGCTCTCTCAGTATTTGTTCAAAAGGGAGTGATTTGGTCCGTGGATGTTCTGACTTCATGTGAATTCCTTTCTCCATTTCTAAAAGACGGTCTTAAGAGGATATCATTGTGGTTGAATGTGGGAGGTAATGAGTTGCAACTTTCCTGTCTATGTCCTTATTTTGTACCACACTTGAGTCTGCAAAACGTTTCCCATCTCAAAAAGCTAACACTGCCACCCAAACAATCTTCTGTGAAGACTGAAAGTTAGGCTTAGTACAGATCCTACTGATACTTCTATTCATCTTTCAGATGTCTAGGTTTGGTATAGGCTCTATTGAAATGGTTCCAATTGGTAGCGATTGCAGCGGAGAAAACCAAAGTCAAGCTTGATTGGCCTATAATGGCAATGGAACAGTAAAGGAGAAAAAGTGAAGCAAAGTAACTAAATGTAGTTGTCGTAAGCCTACAATTAGCTGCCATGTTGCAATGCAAGAAAATAATTAAATGTATTAGCTAAGGCTACAATGCAGCGTTTCATCAAATATAAAGTGTGGCCATCATATCAGACAAGGCAACTGTCACTCCTGAGTTTCAAAAGCATCTTCTTCTTCCTCAATTTCTTACAGTACTAACTCATGCTTCTGCAATTAAGACTTGTGACAAGGTTACTACTTCTAGGTCATCATTTGTTGTTTGTTTCATTACGTATGCCCCTTGCACTTTTATTTCCTTGAGAACTCTACTTACAGGTTATTTTTGGTGTAGATTATGTTGAATGAAATAGCTCTATCCTTTGGGTTTGTAATTCCAAGTTCCAAATTTTCTTTCTTCCAAAAGACTTCAAGGCTTACTAGCCTCACACCAAAGGCAAGAAAGAAAAATCAACCGCCCTTTCTTGTTATTGCATTTCTAGCAGGTTTAGAGAGTCTCTCTTTCAATAAATCCTTTTCATTTTATACACAGGTAACCGTTGCTCCTCGTGTCAAATGCTGTCAAAAACCACTGAAACTGAATTCCGGAGCTGATGAGAGTAGGTAATTTCCCTTGCTCTGTAATTTTCGAGCATCAATTGTGTGTGGTTTTTACAAAATTGGTTTCTTTTGATGTTGGTTGTCCTAAATCATTAAATTAGAGAATACCTGCTGCATTCATTGTTTTGCCAGTCAAAAATGTTTTGCTTAGACATACTGGTGTAAGATGCAGGAAGATGGTCAAGAAATCAGGAAAGGAGGAGCACCACTTATGGCAGAAAAGAGATTCAGCTGGATCTGGGCAAAAGGCACTGAATCTTGTTAGAATTGTAAGTTTCTTAAAGCCTTGTATTTTGCATAGCAGTGAACTGTTTCGAGTTTACAGAAACCTTAAAGATACATGTTAGGGCATTTGAATGGGAGTCAAAACTATTTGGGACAAAGAAGTTTAATAATAAAAAGTGCTTGATGAAAAAATAAAAAAAATAGAAGAAAGTGCTATGTTTTCTGTTTGAAAATGTATTCTTCTTGGTTGGTTTGAAATGGCAGGTTTCCGAACTTCCTAATGAGAAAGAGGCTGTTTATGGAGCATTAGATAAATGGACAGCCTGGGAGACAGAGTTTCCATTGATTGCAGCTGCTAAAGCTTTAAAAATATTGAGGCAGAGGAGGCAATGGACACGTGTAATTCAAGTATGGCATGTCTAGAATCTTTTTTCGATGTCTCCTCATGCCTGAATATATATGAACCATTCTGTTTGATGTTGTTGAAGATGAAATGTTATCTGATTGTTTTCATCAACTGTTGAAGTATTTATAATTGAACATCAGCATATGGTGATGTATAATATGGTCTTCCAATGGCCAAATCCTACTTGATACCTCTGTTGACTTGTTTTAGTTCTTATCTAGATGAACATTTGTTTCAATCAAGGGAACCTCTTGGAAGGATTAAAGCATGTGGAATAAGAATTCTCTCTCACAGAACCGTTTTAATTTATTGATCTGTACGCTAAACTGTGAGAAAATTGACTGAACAAATAATGTGAAGCACTTTCAGTGCTAGTGGGTTTTCTTGTTCGTTCTTTCTTTACTTTCTTTTCTGATGGATCTTTTGTCATGATGTTAATGAGTGCAGTCTCTCGTGAGATTTCTAACTTATTTGTGTGTAATTATTGTTGCTAGAGTGAACATTCACAGTTCTAGTAGCCTGTAGTAATTCTAATTTGTACACAGGTGGCAAAGTGGATGTTGAGCAAAGGTCAAGGAGCAACATTGGGAACATACGACACACTTCTACTGGCTTTCGATATGGATGACAGGGTAGATGAGGCTAAATCATTATGGAACATGATTATATATTCACATACTCGCTCTATGTCAAAGCGCTTATTTTCAAGGATGATTTCTTTGTATGATCATCATAACATGCAAGATGAGATAATACAGGTACTGCTAAACCATCCCCATGTTGTTCTTTCAATGATGTGATTGGAACATGTGAAATCTGAATTATATTGATTTGGGAATTATTGGTATGGTATTAAAGCTTGAATTTCTATTTTTGAGAAACTCAGGTGTTTGCAGACATGGAGGAGTTGGGTGTAAGACCAGACGAAGATACTTTAAGGAGAGTGGCACATGCCTTCAAGAAATTGGGCCAAGAAGAGAAGCAGAAGTTGGTTCTTGAAAGGTACCAGTGTAAATGGAAGTATATCCACTTCAATGGTGAAAGAGTTAGAGTGAAAAGAGATGGACGGAATGAGGAATGATTGATAATTTCATCATTGAAGGATGCTAATTGGCATTGGGGGCTATGATTGAACCAAGATGTGCTGGCTGTAAGAGCATGCAATGTGGCATTGCAAATTAGAAAAGACTATCATCGTGCAAGACGTCCTGAATTTTGTGGCAAGGATTTTATCAACTCAACCATCTTAATATGGCAAATCGCATACTTACTGTGGGTATGCTGTCTGTTAGTTTATAGGGAGCAGTATCATTCAGAGTCTATAAATCTGAAGTTTAGCAAACCTCTACTCACATTGTTTTTGATCAATCATGTAGAGGTGCGCAGAAAAGTATTTGGATTTTCTAGTTATCAAGTTTTTTTTTCTAATTCCAAGTGAAAGCTAGTTTGCTTTTTGTAAGATAAGTGCTTATGTTTATGATGTAGACCAGCACCTGTTTAAACTTTAGTAGATAACTGCCAACAATTAGAATCTGAGAGTTCATTTTTACTTCTGTACTTCTAATACTACTGTACTTCTAATACTAGTTTTGTAAGTATAGGAAAAAAAATCCGCAGATGCCGAAACAGTCTTCATTCTGCAATAAAAAAATAGGCACACTGTGTTGACTAATGGCGGTAGAATGTTATCTTTCCTAGAAAATATCTAGGCTCTATTTTACGTACCTAGGAATTAACTATGGAATGATTACAATATAAATAAATCAACTTTCCACATTTTCTCAATCAAGTGTACAAATTTTAATTATTTTTATTTGAGTATATTAATTTTTTTTAAAATTATCGATCAAGCACTTTCGTTAATTTTTTTCGTTAACCGATGATGTGTTTATTATCTTCAAGACAACAAATTATATTTTTGTCTTTTTTTTTTTTAATAGAGTACATGAAATTCAATTTTTTCAGATTGAATACATCAATTTTTTTAAAACTATCAATTAAGTATTTTTGTTAATTTTTTCATTAATTAATGACATGTTTAAATATGAAAATATATATTTTTTTCTTTTTAAATCTGTTCTATCATTTTAAAATTTAATAGAACTGAAAAAAATTATTTTTAGTTATAAAATCGTAAACTAAATTTAGTAAGGCTTGCTTGTTAAAAAAAAAAAAAAATTAGGTTTTGAGCGTGAAAATTGATGGAAACACAAATGTGAGATTTTTTATTAAAAAGATTCATTTGTGTTTTTCTTCAATTTTTCTTTTAAACTTAATTGAGTTTTTTTTTTTAACGACAATCTAATTGAGTTTTGTTTGAAATTTTCGAGATAAAAAATAATTTTTTTAATTATAAAATAGTAAAATAATTTGAGGAGAAAATTTCTTTCAACAAAAAGAGGATAAAATTATAATTTCATATCGTAATGCATCATCAATCAACGAAGAAAGTGATGTAAAAACTTGGTTGATAGTTTTGAAAAAGTTGATGTTCTCAAATAGAAAAGAAATTAAAGTTCATGTATTTGAATGAGAAAAATGATAAAATTATAATTTGGTATTTTGAGGGTACGGACACGTCATCGGTTAACGAAAAAAATTATAATTTCATATTCAATTTTTACTTTTAAACCTAATTGAGTTTTTTTTTTTTAATAGCAATCTAATTGAGTTTTGTTTGGAATTTTCGAGATAAAAAATAATTTCAAAATTATTTGTCAAATTATAAACGAGTAAAATAATTTGAGGAGAAATTTTCTTTCAACAAAAGAGGATAAAACTATAATTTCATATTTGAATGCATCATCAATTAAAGAAAAAAAAATGAAAATACTTGATTGATAGTTTTGAAAAAGTTGATGTACTCAAACAGAAAAGAAATTAAAGTTCATGTACTTGATTGAGAAAAATGATAAAATTAAAATTTGGTATTTTGAGGGTACATACACATCATCGGATAATGAAAAAATTAACGAAATACTTGATTGACAATTTAAAAAAAATTGATATATTCAAATGAAAAAAATTCAAATTTACAACTTGATTGAGAAAAAATTTAAAATTAGTGTACTTACCATTTAATTATCTCAATTAACTATCCATGGAATTTTGATGATGCTAATATTTTTTCATCCACTGGAATATACACCACCTTGCACATGACAATTGCTTCCTTAGGACTACCTTGCGGCAGTTATTGCTTTACCATTTATTTGAATGTTTGAATTAGGTAGAAGATGCAAGAAATAAGAAATGGAGAAGATAACCTTGTACCATTATCTAACGGGAATGGTTGAATTTGTAGTGTTGGAAGAGCTTAAAGCCCAATAACCCATTGCTCACACTGAATTATACATTTGGATCTAGATTGTTTGGCATCATTAATAAGCTTCACGAGGATCAAATACTTCTCTACTAAATACTAATTGTCCACGACTCAACTCGGAATATTCAATGTTCAAATATGCGGATTATCTCTTGTGCTCCCGCTCGTGCAAAAAGACTCCTATGCTAAAGATATTGCGATGGGTTTTTTTTTTTTTAAAGAAATAGAAGCGGTACATTGAAAATAAAATAAATCATGAAATACAAGAGGGAACAAACTAACCTTACCTTATAGTGGAGGGAACTAGGAAACCTAACCCTACAAAGATTATAACATAAAACCATTCTTGATAGGTATAAAAACTAAGTCTATCGTGTGTACAAACAATTTTTACATCTAGTGGAGATGCTTGATAGTTGGTGAACTACATTTTACCAAGATGCATATAAGCATAATTAGCCAGTCTATTTGATGTCATATTTTATTGTTGAAGAAAATGACTAAGAGAGTCGAGAGGTTATTAATTTCTCACACTTGTAGAAGTTCTAGTTCATATCTCTATGGTTTAAAAGCTCTCTATTTTTTCACATCTATTGCCACCAAGGAATCTGTTTCTACTAAGATTGATGAAAATGATAGTGCTCGACATAATAAAGGCTATCACGTAGTGCTCTTATCTCATCATACATATTCGATCTCTCTCTACGGTAATTCAAAAAACCGAGCAATCATACCATCGGTATTTGTTCAAATAATTCCATATCTCATGTATAATCCATCATTTGTTAAAAAAATTTCAACTAGTGAAGGATGCATTTTAACCATAAACCTTTTATTGACGAGTACTAGAAACAAAGGCAATCAACATTGTAAGATCTTGTGTTTACCACTAAAGATCGCATTCTCGTTTTGGTCCATGGACCACACGGATATCCGATAGGTGCAAGTATACATGGCTTATCATCGAGTCCGCACTTATTGGAACATCATCAAATCTTGTTTGGCACTTGTTTTTTCATATTTCCCATAATATAAAGAAACATATAGATATTTGACATATACTTGCTCGAGTTTTGTTGGAGCATATCCAAGATTGAAGGTCTTTTGGTGAGGTATATTTGTTATTCACTACAAATATTTGACCAAAATGGACCCATACCTAGTTAGCAACCTTTGAGTTAATGAAGAAATGTTCATAAGATTCCTCTTAATGAGTTTTACGAGTAATCACACAATGAAACAATTGATATTCGAAGACCTTAATATTGTTATCTACGGGTATAGCTCGATAAATCCATCTTCACATGAATCTACTTACTTTAGTTGGAATATCAGTTGATCACTCTTTGCTATACCAAAATGTCTGTTGGATAATGGTTCATTCAAAACTCCTAATAATATTTAATTATAAATTCACCAAACTTAGAGAGAGTAAAAAATAGTTTATCAATTATATTTAGATCTAATTGAATACTTCTCACTAATCATGTAATGGAGAAAAAATGAACTACATAAAATCTTTGATGTTCAACAAAGCATCCTTAATAGAGAGCATTTTGCCAATTTGCAATAGTGGACACAAATCAACCCCACACCAGTTATTCATTTAAAAAGAAATAGAATCGTGACCAACCACCCGCCTATCGTAGTCATGAAGGATTATAAAATTCTTAGCCATTGAACACCATAAAAGCTAATCATCTTGTAGAATGTGGAAATTCACCACTTTTCTCTTTTGTGAATGTTGTCCATAGACTTGTCCATTGTTGGAGGCATAATAGACTCACAAGATAAAATTCAAACAAGAATATATTGATAATCTATTGATTACCAAAGAAACCTTACACATAAAATAGTTTTACACAATATTTCTTACTTTCTAGCTGCTTGTTAATAGAGCTTCATCTCACTTTTTTCTCTCTCTCTTTCTTTCTACGTTTTCATGCTTTTTTTTACCAATAAGGTCTGGTTCCTTTTATAAGCAAATTAATCGCCTTTGTTCTATCGGTTATAGCCCATGCACAGTTAGCATAGCCTACCATGTACAAGTCATGCAATCTTTACCGACTTTGTACTTCAATTCCATCCATGCATAGCTCATGTCCAGTTGCCATGTTCCGGCTCATGTATAGCTCATGGATTTCTTTAATTGGTAGCCATTTTGACCACCTCATGTGTACATTTATTTTGTGGTTATGATTTGTTCTTCATTGCAAAGGGTTTGAATTCCAACACTCCTCCTCAAACTCAATTTCGCATGCCAAGCTTTTCTTTGAGTCTATGGAATACATCGGTCTTTAAAGGCTTTGTAAAAATATTTACAAGTTGATTTTCCGTTATGCAATGAACTAGCTCAATAATTTTTTTTCACTTGCTCTCGAATAAAATGATATTTTATGTCTATATGTTTGCTTCGGCTATGTGACACCTGGATTTTTTACAAGTGATATAGCTGATTTATTATCGATGTATAATGTAGTTGGACCTTTTTGTGCATAATATAAATCACTCAAAGTATTCTTCAACCATATTGCTTGACATATACATACTGCTCGCGGCTATATACTCGCTTCACATGTTGAGAGAGTAATTATTTGTTGCTTCTTTGATGACCACAAAAAATATGGTTGATCCAATATGGAATGCATATCCGAAGTACTTTTTTGATAATCCAAGTCTCCACCATAATCACTATCCGAGTAACCAATTAACTTTGAATCTTGAGAAGATGTATAAAATTAACCATGATCTATTAT